ACCTACTAGCGACGGCCTGCAACCTACTAGCGATGGCCTCCAACCTATCTCACAAAGATTCAAGCCTCAAAACAAAATGCCTTACATGCCGAGGAGGTGGCCCTCATGAAGGATCTCAAAGAATCGCTCGCTGCCTCAGCACTACCGAGCAGGCGTAGAAATCGCAGAAAATTGTTTTTCCCTATTTTGTTCATTTGTGTGAAAAGGTGCAAAGATTGAATGCTTTGGCCGTAAAGAGAAAGATGTTCACCTCTGCCATATACTTGGCCTCCCGTTCAAGCTAGACTATCCGAAGGTTTTTCTGCTTCAAGGTGTTCCGCTTTTGTTTGTTCACTATTAGGTTGGAGGCCATCGCTAGTAGGTTGGAGGCCATCACTATTCGAAAGAAAACATGTTCAAGGTGTTCCTTGTTCGGGTTCACGCTTTTGTGGTCTCTTAGGCTGGATCGAGAAGAGGAGCTAAAGGCTGAACTGGAGGCACTAGCACGTCTCATCGAAACATGAGGAGCGTGTGGTTCAAAGTTCCCTTAAAGCGAACATTTGCTACGTTTCTTTCTTCCAGAAAACCTGTTTCTAATAGCTTCTTGTTCCTAGTAGTAAGGTACTTGTTACTAGAAGCGATGCACTTGTTACTAATAGCTTCTTGTATCAATCTGTTTTAAAATTTTAGATTCTGCAAGAAACACAATTTGTGTTTGCGCTGTTTGTCTGAGACTTCGTCACAGTGTTCTTAGGATGGAAATCGTGACGGTGTCTGGAAGTCGTGACTGTCTTGGATGGAGAATTGTGCGTGCCAAAGGACTCTTGTGATGGAGGCCGCTTCTGGGTTGGAGGCCATCGCTAGTAGGTTGGAGGCCATTGCTATTAGAAAGAAAGATAAAAGAAAAGGATGAAAGGTCTCATCTAGTTTGCAATTAAATTAGGACGAAAGGTCTCGTCTAGTAGCATGCCAAAGGTCTCTTGTGCAACATTTGATGACTTTGATTGTTGTGACGATCCTGAAATCTTGAAGTGATGCCACCCTGCTGCTGTCGAAGTGGTAAAAGTGTCTTTTCCTGCGGGTTCTTTGCTGCTTTTACCTGCCTGGAATCATCCGTATGCTCCCTCCCTACTTTTTCTGCCGTCCTCCTGACCCGACAGGACAAATGTTTTTCTTTTCGTTTTTTCCCGGTCTTACCAGTAGGACATAAATCTGCAAGGCGTTCGTCCTTTGAGCTGTTGCATGTGAGGTGCTTTGAGAGGCTGAACTGATTTGGTGACTTGCAAGGCCGTAGCAAGACGTGTGAGCTGAGCGCAAAGAGCAGGCGCAGCGAATCTGATGTGGAAATCAGATCTCGTCGCAATTTGGACGGTTTTTCCAGGCCAATCATACTCAGTTCCTAATAGCGATGGCCTCCAACCTAGTAGGAATGGCCTCCAACCTAATAGCGATGACACTTTAGTTAGTAGCATAGTTCGTTTCTCCTCAAACCTCTTTAAGCACCTTTAAGCCCGTACGGCAAGGGGTCTTCAAGCAAGCTCCCAAGTGTCGCCTTCTCCCAATGTTAATTAAGGGAGGGGGGCAGCGGCCTAAAAAGTAATAAAAATAAACATCTTGTTTTGACATGAGGACGCTACTAGGGGCTCCTGGCCTTACTGCTAGGACCAAGGACGCTACTAGGAGCAAAGGGCCTTACTACTAGGAGCAAGGACGCTACTAGGAGCAAAGGGCCTTACTACTAGGAGCAAGGACGCTACTAGGGATATTCCCAGTGAAACGATTGTCTTCCTCCGTGACAGAACTGGAGCCGATAAAACTTCGATGTTTGCAGAACAGCCGAAAGACAGGATTCGGTGGAAGCACGCAGAGCAGACTGAGCGGACCAACTTCTGAATATTCTCGTGACCTGATGAGCAGCATGGGAGATTTGTACATAAGATGTTTTATGCAAAGATGTTGCAACTGAGAGGTCACCATTGTTTCACAGATTTGTGCATTTTGGTGCCGGAGTGTGTTTGTTCATGCTACGGCCGTGCGAGGTTTCTTGCAAGTTTTTAATTGGAGGGTAGGACCGGGTAGGTATAACCAAGACCTAGTACCTAGTAGACCTAGTAACAAGGGGTTGCGAAGGAAACGTTGTCCAAGGATTCTTTGAACATGTGATCCAAACAGTCCAACGAGATTATGATCTTTCACTACAAATTCCCTCCAGTACCAAGCTGTATTCCATGACCGGTAAATATCATGTCTCTGAAGGACTCGGGTCATTATTGGGTGGATACAGGTACAGGGTGTGACAATTTTCCTGCTGGAGTGCTAAAGCCTCCGGATTCGTATGCCCAGCCCTGAGAGGAACCGCCACGTGACCCACGGCTACAGCCTTGCGCAGGAAAAAGACTATTCGTGGATGGTGTCGTACAGATATACTGTGCATGGTCTGCTCATGACACTTGTGGAATGCAAGCAATTTGTGTTACTGTATATGAATATGGTTTTCATTGACAAAAGGTGTTGATCTATCAGCCTGAAGCAAATAGTTGGCCCCAAGGCCTTTTTGTCAGAGTGCGACTGCTTCATTTGCACGCGATGGCGCCTTCATCGAGTTAATCTTTTTGCCTTTGAACCCAATGGATATATATTTGGATCATACAGCTTTAACCGCTAGCATGGGTCTGTGTAAGGAGCATGTCAACAAAGCATGGTACTTTGCAAACCTTTTTGGAACATGTCCGGTCATTGTGTTCAGAAAAACATGGACGT